CTGGCTTGGCCACATAGGTTCATTTCAACGGGTCTCCTCCTGAGTAAAGAGCAGTTGCATACCACTCCATTGTTCTAATTTGGCAGGAGACAAGTTAGTGTTATGGGCCTTTCTTCTGATTAAGCTTCAACTGTGCTGCTATTCTGCCAAAACAGGAAAGAAAAGGGGAAAGAGAAGATCACACAACTGACCTGGTGTTCATTAACTTGCAAGACACTTCAGGGGGCAAGACTGCCATTTCACATTCATTTTAAGTTGGTGAGTTTTAGCAACTGGGAGCGGGTAGTTAAGAGCCAGCTAGGAACTGCATCTGTGTACAGTCATTCCTTGGGTTACAGACTTTCCAGGTTGCGTTTTTCGGGTTACGGACCGCCGAAACCTGGAAGTACCGGAACAGGTTACTTCCGGGTTTCGGCGGCCGCACATGCGCTGAAGTGCTAAATTGCACTTTGCACATAAGCGCCGAATCACAACTCACGTGTGCGCAGACGCGCCACTGCAGGCTGCGGACACTGCGAGTTGCGAACGTGCATCCCACACGGATCACATTTGCCACCTGAGCGTCCACTGTACTGTACTTAAAAACTTGCTGCTGCTGGGAGTGCTGAAGTATTACTTGGCGGCCTTAATCCAACATCAACGGATTTACAGTATGCTCCTCAGACTTTGGATCTGGGCACCACAGAGTTGAATTGCCTGAAGAAATTGGTCATTAGCCCACAACTGTGATTTTACGGATGAGAAGCAGAGACAGCTTTGTTCTCACAAAATATCCAATGGAGCATCTAAGGTGTTTGTTTGTTTTTTTTTAAAAAAGTATGGTGGGGGATGCACGAAGAAACATTTGATCACATCACACACACCTGCAGTCTGAAGCGGCACTGGCCAGATACAGCATTTTTACGTTTCTTCATTCATTAAAATGAACATTAAAATGCTTACAACACAGCTTGCAAAAAGAACTAAAAGCAATTAGCGCACTGTATAAACAGAACGTAAATCAACAGAAAGCCATACCCGAGATTACAATCAAGAGTTTTTATATTTTTTAGAAATAGGTCCTTGTGGGAAAAGATTGCCTTTGCTTTGACATCCAAAAGCCACCAAACATAGGAAAGTGGGAAGCTACCTTGCGGCAAGCTACCTTGGCCAACCTAACTCACGGGCTGGCAGCATGTCAGGAATTCTGAAGAGGGGGTCTCTCCCAGTCCTCCCAGGAGATGCTGGGAACCAAATCTGGGAATTTCCGCATGCAAAATGGACGGTCTAGCACTGAGTTACGGAGCTTCCCTACAAGGAATGGAGATTCCCAAGGGAAGACTCCGACCTACATTGCCACAAACACCTCTGCAGCTGCGCCTAAGAAGAACAAACAGAAGCCTATGGACCAGGACTCACGTCTACCATGAACTCTGTGGTCTTAGGCAAGCAACATTGTCAGTGCATCACATTAGGAAGGAGGAAGATAATGATATTACTGGTATTATTACTAATACTACTTATTTTTAATGCAATTAATATTTCTTTTCTAAGAGTTATATACCACTTAATGCCAAAATAGGCTTATACAAATATAAAAATTGTTTCCCTAAGAAGATGTGGACAGTGATGGGCACCTGTCGGTGGGGTCTGTATCACAGAGGGCTGAAGTGCAAGGGGAGATTTTCACCCGCCTGATTTTAGGAAATTTCCCCCTTGTACCAAGCCCTATGGGACCCACAGTGTCAACTATTCAGGAGGGACCCCCAATTCTCTGGAGAGTTTTTTGGGGGCATACAGGCGATGGGAAGAGCAGCTCAGTCGGCAGAGAACGGCTCTTAATGTCAGGGCTGTGGATTTGAGCCCCACGTTGGGCAAAAGATTCCTGCATTCAAGGGTTGGACTAGATTACCATCATGGTGCCTTCCAACTCTACAAATCATATTCTAAATCATATGATCCACTGAAAGTATTAATTTTTAGCTGGCAGCTGGTTTCATCTTCTCTTTTGTATTTTTTTGGTATATTGTTTTAATGTAAACTTGTGGTTTTATTGTTAGCTGCCTTGGGTGTTTCCTTTGGGAAAGCATGATACAACTTTTTATAATAAAGAAATATTACTACTGCTACTATAATAACCAGTGTGGGGGGGTGTTACGTTAAGTAATTTATATACCACCGCAAGCACTTTGCTTGCTTTACAACATTTGCAAGAGCCCCGAGAGAGAAGCTCCCTAAGTTTTTGCCCCCCGTAGCTGAGCAAGGATCTAGGCACCTGTGCCAACAAACACCACGAAAAGGTTTTCATACAGGGTTCTGGTCTAAGTCAATCCTCCACAGGGAGTCTGTCAGGCTTTGTTGAACAGAACTTGATGTGTTTTCCCCTCTAGAAGACATTCATAGTTCTTCCCACACAAAGTCTTCTTATAAGCCCACATGCTGTCTGCTGAAGTCATTGGTCGCTGCTGACAAGCCTCAAGAAAGATATCTTCTGAGTAAGAGCTGCTTCTTTTTTAGGAGGATGGCACTACTACCATCCCAACGTCTATAGATCTGAAATGGAGGAGAATCTCATGGAGCGTTATCAATGCCTGGTAGCCACGATGTGGGATAGCTCCGTTGGTGGAGCATGAAATGCTTGATCTCAGGGTTGTGGATTTGAGCCCCACCTTGGGCAAAAAAGTCCTGCATAGCAGGGAGTCAGATGACCTGCGTGGTCCCTTTCAACTCTACAGTTCTATGATTCTCTGGTTATGCTCTGCCTCCAAAGTTGGAAACCACAGAATGGGAGGCTGCTCGTCCTCAGATCCTGCTTTGAGGAGTTTCCTGCAGGCATCTGGTTGGCGACTGAGAACAGGAGGCTGAACTGGATTGTCCAGCCAGCTCTTCTTATGTAGCAAACTTGAGATGGGTGCAGAACAGAGACAGTGAATGCTGCCTGGTTAAGGCTGTGCTTGTTGGGATACTGTCGGGGAGACGGGGGCATTAGGCAGGCATCAGGCAGGCCCCCAGCTGGCTCCAGCCGCCGGTCGGCAGCCGGTCTCCCTTAGAACTGCAGCAATCAGCGACACGAGCCTCAGATACATTTAGAGACCCGTGCACGCTCTGTCAGCAGTGTGTAAATCTTGTCACAGCAGAAGAGGCGGGCAGAGAAATGTGTAAGTTTAACATACAGCATTTTATTCAGCATCGTTCAGGAACAGAGGAAAACATGTCTGCTTCCCTTCGTCTCCAGCAAAACATCAGTAACACAAAAGCTATATACAAACGGAAGTTCCCAGCAAGTGCTGGAAGTAAACAGGCATGTGACACACAAGAGTCATACCTGTTCCCTTTTAAGGTGGAACGGAACTATATCCTAACAGTGCTGTCACCCACATGCACACAGTCTTTATGGAATTCTCTGCTGCAACCCTTTCCCACCTCCTAAAAGCTGCTCCTGAATGCTCGGCAACCTCCCTGGGGTTGTATGCAGCACACTGAGGTGTGTGATCATTGTGAAAACTGGGTGACACCGAAACCCACCCCAGACAGGCACATACTTGGAAGCACTTTCTGCTTTGGCCACACTGTATCCTGGTCCGGTATCGATGGAAGCAGTTCTATTAGCAGTGTCTCTCAACCTTGGGTCCCCGGTTGTTGATAGACTACAACTCCCATCATCCCAAGCTAGCAGGGCCAGTGGTCAGGGATGATGGGAGTCGTAGTCCAGCAGCAGCTGGGATCCCAAGATTGAGAAATACTGTGATAGCACAAGGATTTCTGGCTACACAAGGGAACCCCTCCTTCCTCTCCTCAGGTGCCCACTAAATCTGTTCTAGTGGTTTCTCCAATCCTGCAGAGCAGATCTGGGCAGGGTGCAGGGAGAGGAGAGGGAGGTTTAGTTCAGCTGCATAGCCAGAAGCCCTTGTGATGAAAAAAAACCTACTTTGTTGATGCTGCCCAGGCTATTCTTTCCATGTCTATTCATTATCCAGCTTCTTCCCTTTCAGAACTAAAGGACTAAAACTTAAAAATTGTACAGCACAGTATTAAAGCCAGAAGATACTGGTGCCAAACTATTCAGTGTATTGGATTCATTAAGCCTGAGAGTCCACTTTAATCATACAAATCCATTAAGCCTATCCTAGTTAAATTCAGATAGTCCACTAACATACACTATAAATCAGCCTTCCAGACCTTCACCAGGCAACCTGTGACAGGTATTTTTGGAGCTGAAAGACCAAGCTGAAGCCCCTTTGCCATGCAAGCACAGCAGGGGCACCGACTGCCATTTGCAATCCTCTTTTCCCTCTCTGTTGACCCACAAGTGAATCACACAGCCCTGAGCTGAATTGGGAGCTTTTGTTGTTTGCAAGATCAAGGATGCAAATCAACATTACTTCTTTAAAAGGTCAGATGCTCAGCTTTAGCTGCACTCAGCTTCCCCAGATTTCATGACCAACGTAATACCAAGTCTGGTGCCATGAAGCAAATAATCATTTTAATGGCTTAAGACAAACAGAATCGGAAGTATGAGAGCAACAGCTAATACAAACGTTAAGATAAAACAAGGAAATGGCATGCCTAGTACAGTACTGAAGTTTCACTGTAACAGAAGCAACAGAAAACTCAGAGAGTTGGACTCAAGATTAAATTAGCTGCACTTGGTTCCCACTGATTTCAATGGCTCAGAAGTCCAACTAATTGAAGCCCAATTCCTCTTATCATAAACATAGTCATGACTTGCAGCAGAGAAAACCTATTAAGGGTGGTTCTAAACACTAGAACTACCACTGATTATGTACACTCAGGAAGTTTTCCAGCCTTACCAGAACTCCCTGGACTAGTTTCCTTCCAGCTACTGAAAAGCAACCCTGCCTTTTTGGAGCAATCTAAACAACCATCCTCTGAAAAGCAAACAACTCAATATACTCGCTTAACACCAACAAAAATTGTGATCCAAACCTGTAGGAAAGTAGTGGTGCGTTTTCTAATCTAGGCAGTTCCAAGCATCAGCCCTGAAAAAGAGGAATATTTACCTTTCTTCTATTTTGTTCCTGTCCACTAGGGGCTGTTTGATCCACTGGTTCACCAACCTCTGTCCTTGGGCCGTTCTGCACTTATTTAACAAGCCAGCCAAACAGTGCGTACCTTGAGCATTTTCTGAAGAACGCTGAGGGGAAATAACACATTGTGGTAGAAAGTCAATTAAAAGAAAAACCAAAAACATTTGTGCAAAAGTGAGTGAAACCCCTCTAAAAGCAGAATAGTGGCAAGTGAGAACATGTATGTGTTTTGCATTTTAGTACTTTTCTTCTGAATCAAGAGGTGGTGCTCCATAGTGGTTAGAGTGTTGGACTATGACTTGGAAGGCCAGAGTTCAAATCCCCACTCGTTCATGGAGCTCACTAGGTCACTTTCGGCCAATCACTGTCTCTCAACCTTGCAGGGTTATTTTGAGCATGGGGTGCAGAGAGCCACGTATGAGTGTGTGAGCTCTTTGGAGGGCAGTCTTGGGAGAGCGCTCTGGGCTACCTGCAGCCCCCCTGGATTTCCAAGCATCCTCCGGTGAGCATAGCTCGGGAAAAGGCACCCCCTTCTTCTCCAGGGCATTCTAGAAACATAAACCAACTTGATTTATGTGGGGTGTAAATGTAATAATAGATAAAATTATTTCCTTTATGCTTGAGTTAATTTGGCATTCTGCAACAGAGTTCAAGCCCATCCTTCCAGTAACAAAGGAGGCGGATCATAGGGAAGACAAGCTAGCTGAATTGAGAGATGAGGGGAGAAAAAAATGGGGGCGAGGGTCTTTCCCTTCTGTGTGGATGTACACAAATGTACTAGATCTGTGAAGATGAGGAACCAGGAACTTAGCTGTGGAGCGGTATCAGAGCGCAGCCCGATTTTAAAAACAATAAAAGCCATGTAGAGCTCTGAAATAAAATAACGGGCTTTACAGGGCTATATACCAAGATCAATATAACTTTAAAGCGTCCCTGGCTAGCTTCACAACGTGGCTTATGTCTTTCCTTATGTCAAGGCAGATTCTGCCACATTGCGTGGATTAAAGGTTTACTTCTCCAACATTTTCCTTCCCAAATGCTGTCTGATCCATCGATGCAACACCAAATACATTCTCTTAAAGCTTTCAGCACATATTTTATTTATCTAAGCTTTGCCAGCCTAATATGCTATGCAGGAGTGGGGAATACTAGCTGCAGGGCATCTGCATATATTTGCATGTGCACACCTGTCAAAACAAGGGCTGCAACATGTAGTCTATCTAATCTATCAGATCTAGGATGAGGAAGTAGTAGCCCTCCAGGACTTACCGGACTATAACTCCTATTGTCCCTGAGCCTTGACCCTGAGCCTTTGAGATGTACGTGCACCTTCTCTCTTCCAATTTATTGTTTTATTTGTATGCAGATTTTAATCAATTAACAGGCATAGTTTATTATGATTTATTTAATAAGTGGATTATATCCACTTAAGTCATGCTCAGAACAGACCAACTGGAATTGATGGACATGACTAATGCAGGCAATTTGATTTTGAGAGGGGGGGCAATTCAAGAATAAGTTAGACCAAATTAATGGCCGTTTAGGCTTCTTCCACGTGAATAGTTCACTTTTTGAATAATAAGAGTTCTAAAGATGCTTAGGTTGGATATGGCCAAAAAAAAAGGTTGGGAACCACTGCGTTAGGCCATCAAAATCCGCTCCAGAGGTTTGGGGGACCCTCTGGAGCAGATCTGAGGAGTGCGCAGGGAGCTGGAGGGAGGAGAGGAATTATTTGTGCAAGCAGAAGTCCTCTCACACAGTGTTGGATGCAACCTACTGGTGTCAGTGGGTCTACTTTGAGTATGCCTTGATCAAAATAAGTTCCGATTCTAACTAACTCCTGAGAATACTGTTCTCTTAATTCAACTAAGATTTGTTTCTGGCATGAGCTTGTGTTCACATTTCATTTACATGCTTATCTGGATGCCACTTTCCCACCCAAAAAATGTATCCAACTTAAAACAGATGTGCAAAAAAGGGCATGTGTCCCTATTTTAGGCAAGTTTGTGTTGCAGGTCTGTGCCCAGAGTCTTACGTACATAGCAATGTCCCGGCTTACCTGGAAAAGGTTAAGTGCCCTGACAGCGGAATGATCCAGTGTGACATATTGATGAAGGTTCATGGTGGAGAGTTCAAATTGTCCAAAATTAGACTCGTCTGTTAAGAGTTCTAAATACTTAATCACTGCAGCCAAGGAAGTGATGGCGATCTGGGGGGGGGGGAGGTATGGAAAAAAAGGGGGGATTACTCCACATGCAGGAAGACAGGGCAGCTTGTCACTGGTGTACTTTTAGGTACAGAGCTGGATGCCATCCAACTAAGGAAGAGTTCCCAAATGAACAGCAGAATCGGCAGTTAAATAATTCCAAGTGAAATTATTGCTATAATTTTTACGGCAATCTACTTCTGAAGATACAAGCGAAAATGAGTTAGCACCTGGGTTCTGGGAGCAAAGACTGCAAAGCCACTGTATCTCCCCCTGCCCCCCGATCCTACTGCTGCCATGCTACCCAGACTTAAGCAATGGTTTGGTATAGCATTATATCCAAAGCTGGGATAATGACTTGTCTGGCTCCAAACAAACCACGGTAAGCCACAGAACAAACCATGGTTATAGGAAAACTATGAGCCCAGGTTAGATGCAACACTTAGCCAAACAATGGTTTAGCCCCCCAGGCAGCAAAGCAACAAGAGGAGTTGCAATCTTCACTCAATGAACACATGTGTTGGCACGAAGCCATGGCTGACTCTAAGTTATATGTGATCTAGGGTCTGTATCTCTGTGCTAGAAAGAGACACGGTGAACAGCCAAAGTAGGGTGGAAAGGATTAAGAGCCCTAACCTGGACTGTCCCGGTCAAAGACTTTATCCTTCACACACCTTTAAATTAGTGTTCAGAGAACTGCTACAGCCACTATCTTCAGCAGGAGAGTAAAGAAGGAACAGAAACAGCCATTTATTCCACACTGAAAGGACTATGCAAATATAACAAAAGCACTTTAGTGCTGAAATGCAAACGTAAACTGCAGTTGTTTGAAAAGCTAGCTACAAACAGATCTTCTGTTTAAAAGTGACAGTGATGCCCATTTTCTTCTGCGAAACTCCTTTTTCTTTTTAGCAGGTCATAGTGCTACTTCTCTCACTTGAAACTGCATGTTAAACATAACCAATAAACATTTGCAAAGTGTAGTTCAAGTGCAGAGAGAGAGGAAGGGAGACTAAGGCTACATTCAAGTTTGCGGCAGGGATGAGACTTGAACCAAGGACTTTTCACTCACACTTAGCAACTGCACAAGCCTTCCACCATTCAAATAAAGGTTGTCATAAAGAACAAAACCACAAGTGTGGTTCAAGGAAAACCTTTGGGAGAGCATTAGTTTAAAAGCAAGCCTCATACATGTTTTCAGGCAGTCTCCCCAGCAGGAGGAGGAAGTGCTAGCCATAGCTTATGTGTGTTAATTTAAAATTGCCCACGCACTGAGTTGGCTGTGTGTAATTTTAAGTGGGTGAGGGAGGAGAGCGTTAAAAAAAATGGTAATTTTAAAAGATGCCAGTCACTTATCTTGTGTAGAATGAATGCAAGAGGTCTAACCGATCTCTCTCAGATTTTTTGCTACAGTTATTATTATTATTCCATAAAATTTATACACCGTTTAATTGTAAAAAATACCTCAAAGTGGTTTACAGAAAGTAAAACAGTAAAATCAAGAATTATTTACAGCCCTACTTAAAAAACATACAAAAGTTAAAATACTAAAACGGATTAACAATTCCTCAACTTTCTAAGCATCCATCCTAAAGATTCCAGGAGAGCTTCCCTGAAAAATAGTAATTACTGATGGGCTTTCCCTCTCCCAGTCACCTGTTTACAGTGCTTTAAGAATGTCAGCATTCTTTAATTTAGGGTGAAATTCTAACCCCTAGACAGCAGCTTCAGGGCTTGCTGGAGCAATGCAGTCAAGCACAGCATCCACAAATCATCTCTGCTGTACCAGCTCACAGCTCATTCTGGAGAAGAAGCCCAGATTAGGCCTGTCTTCACGATGGCAGCAGGAGGTGCCCAGAATCAAGTGAACCCTGTGCCAGTCCAGCCCTCCCCACAAAAGCCTTGCTCTGGGGTTTTCTGATGGCTACCACTGGTATGAATACCAGCAGCAGTGGCTTCTGCCCATTCGCCATTTGAGCAACTCTATGGGGATGATCTTCGCCAGTGTAGTTCCCCAGCTGGTGGAGACTGGCAGAGTTGAATGGAAAGGTGGCTCCAGTCCCCACAAACGCTTTCTACCATGGCAGTTTGGATTGCTCTGATATAACAGCTTGATTTTACCATACAGTCGTACCTCGGTCTAAGAACAGTCCTGTTAACGAACGATTCGGGCAATGCACTCCGCAAAACCAGAAGTAGGTGTTCCAGCTAGCAAACTTTGCCCCAGAAAACAAACGGAAGCCAAGTAGTGGAAGGCCACTGGCGGCAGGAAGCCTCATTGGGGAAAGCACGCCTCGGTTTAAGAACATTTTTGGTGTAAGAATGGACTTCCAGAATGAATTAAGTTCATAAATGGAAGTACCACTGTATATTTAAATTGGCTGTTGCTGCATGAGTTTTCATTCCTTGTATTATTATTATTATTATTATTATTATTATTAATTATCACCACCATCTTAAATCATCTTTTCTTACTACGTTAGTTACCCTGGGAACACAAGTATATATTGAGAATACAGAATATGAATTACGTACGTACGTAAATAAATAAATAAATAAAGGTTAAAACAACTTTCTTGAAAATATGGATTAAGATGGGGTGGGTACAGTAGCTTTATACATTAACTAGACAAGGCAGCAATGCTAAATATCACTTTTAAAATATTCTTCACATCCATGCTGTAACGGTTGCATTGCTTTCTGTAGCAACGTAAATGTTTAAAGAGGGCTTTATCTTGTCTATCTGCAAAAAAACCCTGTGAGTTACATCATTCTAATTTTACAGATGATGCAAAATAACAAACAAAAAATAGCAGCCAAAGGCTAGTTTACATGTGCCATTTTGTCTAAACAGAGGTAGGACCCATGTAGAAAAATGTATATACCACTATGTGCGAGACAGCAACATGTATTTGGAAGTCTCTCCAGCAAATAATAATAAAATAATACTTCAAAAGCATTTGTGTAACTTACTTGATATGTAACTTCAATGAGAAGTTGCAAGAAAGTATTTGTTTTGACCATGTCCATTTTTACCGTGCATCCCATTCCACGGTGCAGCTTAGGACTAGACCTCAGGACTGAAGTCTAGAGCCACCAAATGACCACCCAGGGAGCAGTAGGTGTCAGTGAAGTGGCAAACAGGCCCAGTATCAGCATCTGAACTGGTATGAGAATGCCTGGGTCATTGCAGCATCCTTCCTTTCTTCTCCTAAAACATATTTTTGGAACATAGGAACAGCCCTACCTGGAGCTGCCAGGAATTGAACCTGGGATCTCCTGTATGCAAGGCAGATGCTCTACCACTGAGCTAAGGCTCTTCCCCTTAATATTATAGTCCAGGAGCAGACAGCCAGGCAGGTACATGGTTACAGGTGCTCATTTTATGTATTATTGTTTTCTGCAACAAAATGGTACTTATTCCCAGGTAAAGGTGTTCAACAGCAGGACAGCAGTAGCAAACACCCATTTTATTGCTGTGGCATTGGCGGTGCTACAATTTGATTTTAAAATGCAAAACATAACATGCTCAGGAAACTTAAAAAAAAAAAGAATGCTCAAGATTGGTTTAAGTTTTTTGCTCTAACAGAATCAGCATTGTAGAAGCTGCTGTAAGCATGGAATGGCATTTGTGGCGGGGGCGGGACAGTCTAGCACAAGGGCCTGCAAATAAAATGGCTAATCTGGATGATACCGATTCCTCCAGTATCATCCAGATTAACTATTTTGTTTGCAGGCCCTTATGCTAGGCTGACCCCTGGCGGCAATCATACCTCATAGCAGCCAGCAAAAGACAACTGTCCAATCTAGGCTGCCAGCAAATGAGCTGCAGTGAGATCAATGAAAAACTTTTAGTTGACTAAAAATGGGCTCCCAGCTAATCAGGTAGCAATTTATTTACACATGTTATAGATATATTTAAGAGCTCCTTGTTTTATTATTTAAAAAATGGAATCTGCAAGCATCATAAAGGGCATTTCTCTCCTCTCCTTCACACAACAGGGAACGCCTCTTCTAAAATGATACCCATCATGACACGCTTGCATCAGAGAATTGTACAGTTGCAATGCAGAAATATGCAGCTGTCCCATACATGAATCGAATCTGCAACCTGGGCATTATCAGCACCACACTTTAACCAACTGAGAAAACAAAATATGCTTCTTGTTTCAGACTTACTGTTTTACTCACATGCACATTTAATTGACATGCTAAGCCAACTGGCATTCCTTTAATCAAGGAATACATAGATACATAGATAGATAGATAGATAGATAGATAGATAGATAGATATCTGCATCAACCACTGGCCTTTGCAATTTGAGTATAAAATACAAGCATGTATAAACAAAATTACCAAACTAAATCAAAATAACAGCCATTGCAATTTGGCCTGGTTCAGACCCTCACTGAGACACCACTCCAATTTATCAGGAAGAATAGCACAAGTCAGTTTGGATGGGCATAAACCCCCCTGGAATGCCTCTTTTTAGGGACTCAGATCAGCCAGCTAAGCCCTGGCCTAGCCACGATGGATGACTTCTGCCAGTGTATCTTTGGCTGTGCTGGGATGAGGGACTTCAGCCGGCAGACTTCTGACATAGCCCAGGCTCAGCTGGAGATCAGTCTATTCCAAATTCCACCCATACCAGTGGATTGCTCTATAGGGCACAAAGCACTGGGAAGCACTGAATTCTGGTATACAGGTTCAAAACACCACTCCGAACCCGTACAAAGAAGAAAGCTGTCAAACAGGTTCGGCCATTTCCTCTCCCTTTCAAAAAGAATTTACATGCAAGTGGCCAAAGAGGAGGCGCAGGTGCAAAATGCCACTGAAGCCACAGGTTACCAGGCTACGACACTTTTGTGATATATATCCCCCCCACCCTCAAGCCTGGTTACCCACCTGTTGGTCCATTTCGGGTAATGTTGCACTAGACATCTTCTCCTTCCCTTTCGATCTCAGCAAGCGGTTGAGATCTTGAACAATGTCCTTTGTTACAAACTCGGTCTTTTTCCTCTCTGTAATCAGAATCCCTCCTCTCTGAACAACCTGCAAATATATATATATATATATCTTTAGATATAAAAATTGAGAATATTCTCTTCCGTTAGAGGAGGGATGGGGAACCTGTGGCGCTCTAGATATTATGGGACATCAACTCCTCTTGTATACTGGCCAAGCGGGCAAGGCTAATGGGGAGTCCAACAACATCTATAGAGCTGCAGGTTCTCCATGGTTGGAATATGCTTCTGAATACCAGCTGCTGGAAACCACAGGAGAGGAGAGGGCTCTTGTTCTCAGGGCCTGCTTGCAGGTTTCCCACAGGTATCTGGTTGGCCAGTGTGAGAACAGGAACCTGGACCAGGGGGGGCACTGACTTGAGCCAGCAGGCTCTTCCTTTTGTTATCAAGTGCACCCGTATCAGCCTAAACTTATGCACGTCTGCTCAGAAATTGACTGAACTCAATGGCTGCTCACTCCCAGATAAATGTGCACAGAACTGCAATTTGACCACAAATTTATTACCTTCCATGTAAACATGCATGTAAATCTCTCAATGAATTCATTCAAAATGGATCGTACCATAACGTTTTAACCAAAATGTTTGAATCAATGTAACTACTGATAAACTAATAATCAAAGTGAATTATTTAATAACAAACACAATAATGTATTCTCTTTAATCGTTTGTAGTATTAGCAATTAATGTAGGGTGAGATTCTGGCAAAATATAAGCATTCCTATAGAGTCCAGGGGGGAAGGTACTTTACATACATTAAATCTTTCCCATTAAAATCTATAGGATATGGAGCCACTTTAATTCAGAAATAGAAGATCCCATAGTGTTCCATTGGACTCCCAGGTGAGCCTGGGATTGCAGCTGTAACATGTTTCACTTTGGATGGATTGTGTCCATTTTAGAACATGAACTACTCATTATTAACAAAAGATAAGCACTAGGAAAGATGAACATGCTTATTAGACATATATCCCACTACAGTCTAGAAACTATGAAAAAAGCACTGGTTTCTCCATAAAAGCTCATTATTTTCCCCTCTGGGTGAGAAATATACACTCCCTGCTCCTTACAATTCCCCTTATATGGTGGAAAAGATGGTTGATGCTTTTACATTCCTATAAACTAAGCTGTGAACTTTGTACATACTATAAATATTTCATGAAACTGATGAAAGCCAAATACCTATGCTCCAAAAATACGTGACGATAAATTGATGTGTCACCATCCCAAGTAAGTTTGGACTTGTGAGTTGCCATACCAAAAAGGTTGGGAACCACTGAAGAATGTTAAAAGAAAAGGGAAAAGAGAACCCTACTTTCTCTTAGCTTTTCTATTCCTGCAGCACAAATTAACTTGAAGGCCCTGTCCACTTCTGTAAGTCTTCTACCAAATTTAAGAGGGGGGGGTAGAACTGGCAGAAGGACAGAGGCTTGGCTAGTAATCATGGCTCATGTTTGTAGGCACCGGGCAGTAACCACAGGAGCCTAATTCAAACATAATGCAAACCAGGGAGTGAGCGAGGGAATTTGAGAGTGTGAAGGGAGGAGCACATGACCCTGAGAATCAAGCCATGGTTTCATGGATAACAAAAGTATCACCATCTCAGCGAACTTAATCAGCCTGGTATAGAAGGCAGAAACTGGAATCAGAATAATAATAATAATAATAATAATAATAATAATAATAATAATAATTTATTTATAGAAGCATTGACCCCCACCAAAAACTCAACATAAACTTAACTGCTAAAGCGAATTAAGGCTTGAAGACCTGTTTCAAATGTAATCTTCAATGAGCTGCTCCCGCCTCTGCTCCAAATTTATGTAAACAAAGCCTACAGCCCATAACATTTCCATGGCTTACCTCTTTCAGCTTTTCCATCTCTCCAGCAGCCTCTCCAACAGGTAGAATACATTCCTTGGGGCCCATCTGAACTAGCAGAGCTTCAAGGTTTGAAAACTGGTCATTATCTGGAAACTCACATACTTCCAGCTTCCTCACTAACGTATCCACAAACCCAACTCCAACAAGTTTTTGCCCATCAGCTGAGGATACCCGAATGCCCACAACACCAACAGAAGATGACATATTGTGGTTAGAAAACAGAACGTCTTCAAAATGGGCAAGGTTCCCTGGAGAGCCCTATTTAAGAAAGAAAAATCACAGTTTGAGAGTTTCTTCACCTATGTATCTGGTCCACCTGCCTCCCTCTCCCTGCATTAGACAGACCTTTTGAAACACCTATTTGGGTAGTCTTAGCCTGAATAGTTTCTTCATCTCACCTGAGGCCTCTTGCTGACAGATCCAATGCAAACTCTAAAGTTTCGACTGCAGATTCACAAGGTTTAACATGGATCAGCTTCCTCATCATTGTCTGTGGGTCTAGGATTCTTAATGCAATTTAATGTCCCTTATGCCCTTAAAAGAATCTCCAATCTCATTTTCCACTGGGCAAATGTGGAGTCAGTAAGCTTTGCAAGGGTAAAGCTATGGCCACTCATTGGATCCTGGGCTGCCATGGTTAAAAAGTAAGTTTCCCCAAAATGCACAAAAGCAAAACCACCAAAATTGCAACAACCACAAAATCACTCAAAAAGTGGTTAGATTAGCCAAGACTAGATTAGCCTAAGCACAGAAACAAAACTGGTGGATGGGGGAAAGAAAAGAGAACATTGGCAGGGGCTTTGCTATCCCCATTAGCAAAAACAAGAGAACAAAAAAACGAAAGGCTCAAAATTCAAAAAGCAAAAACTTTTCTCAACAATCTAGGTGCTGTCTGGGCCCATAAACCAATGTTGGAGAGAGGTTTGGAAGAGATTCGTACTCAAGGAGAGAAAGAGGGGGAGCAGAGGTTGCTGCAAGCCTGCTAAGCAACACCCATTCTGGCAACTTGAGCTCTGCGCTCCGATTAACCCTTTTGTGCATGCAAGTGTGAATCAGTAACTGTATGTAACAATAATGACAATTTAAACACGTGAGGCATAGAATTGCAGGCACAGACTTATTATCTCAGGATCTAGGCACTGGTCTCTTATTCACCCAAATAAGTATTCAGCTCTCAACACGACGGGTGCTTTGTGATGCTTTTTGAGTGATGCGAGGTGACTCCAACTGCTAAAGAATAGAACCCAAAATCTTAATGGATAGCAGAAAGGCAGTAGGAAATATCAGATATCAGATGAAAAGCACACACAGATTTGCAAAGCAGTAAGTATTTTATTTACTGCAACTGTTTGTGATGAAGACTTTACCTTATATGCCAAATACCACTCTCCCTCCTTGGTGGATTTATTTCCCGCCTTATTCTTATACACCTCAGCCCTGTAGCGACGAATCAAAAGCAGATTCCTCAAAAAAGATTCAAAGTTCATCTTGCTAAGCGCAACACTTTCAAGTTTCCGGTTTCCTAAGAGATGAGAAAGCAGCGTAAGGAAAGTGGCTGACATACCACACAGAGAAAATTTGATCCACTGAAGTAAAACACATTTGATTTTGATGGGAAAGTTAATTTGCTCTTGTTGAAATCAAACATGCTCAAATTGATGTAGATTACGTTCATGATAGCTCCCACACTTACTGTGAAAAGATTTTTTAAAAAAAAAGATTAAACAGCTTAGAAAGTAAACATGACAAAGCAAAAGGCAAACAAGAAATCACATGAAGTATACCTTTCCTGTTGCATATAGACAAAAGGCTTACATACTGAATCAAGACAGTAAAATGAGAGCTCTAAAATAAATCTCCAAACCACAGGTGTAAACTTGAAGGGGGGCTTGATTCCCCTGGGGGTCACCTCCCCAAGAACTTAATCCGTTCCAGAAGTCCGTTCTTAAACTGAAACCATTCTTAAACTGAGGCGCACTTTCCTAATGAGGTCTCCCGCCGCCAGTGCCCTTCCACCATTCGGATTCCGTTCTTAGTCTGAGGTAAAGTTCTCAAACCGAGACACTATTTCCGGCTTTGCAAAGTTTGTAAACCGAATTGTTCTTAAACCAGGCTGCTCTTAAACCGAGGTACCACTGTATACATTCAAGGCAACATAATTAACAGGAAACTAAAATATTATCTTAAAGATTTCAAAATAAAACATTGCAAAGGAAGTCAACTACAGAATGCACATTTAGAACAGCAGAGTTAACACACACACAAAAAAGAAAACATTAGTAAAGGAAGTAAAGTATAAAATGCACATTTAAAACAGCATGGTTAGCAAGAGAATAAAATACTATCATAAACATAGAACATATCTACTGGGTAGTGGCCCAAGCTCAATGACATGGATCTGCACTCAGAGACAGCCAAGATACCATCAAAATCATTGCAAATCATGCTCAGTCTCACATATTGACAGTCTCACATGACAGACTCATTTACAACAGCAGCTGCACCACAGGTGTGAGTGGGTGTATATACAGTGGTACCTCGGGTTAAGTACTTAATTCGTTCTGGAGATCCATACTTAACCTGAAACTGTTCTTAACCTGAAGCACCACTTTAGCTAATGGGGCCTCCTGCTGCTGCTGTGCCGCCGGAGCACAATTTCTGTTCTCATCCTGAAGCAAAGTTCTTAACCTGAAGCACTATTTCTGGGTTAGCGGAGTCTGTAACCTGAAGCGTATGTTACCTGAAGCGTATGTAACCTGAGGTACCACTGTGTGTGTGTGTGTATACACACCAGAGAGCCGCTGGTGATCAAGACTTTTGAAGCAAAAGTCCATTTTAATGGAACTGGGTTTTTTTGTTTTTTGCTTTTGTGTATATATTTATTGCAATGAGATGGTTTGCGTGTCAGACTAGGACACTGGAGAACAGGGTTCAAATCCCAACTTTGCCACAAGCTCACTGCCGGCATAACCTACTTCACAGGGTTGTTGTGAGGATTAAACAAGGGAGAGGGAGGACCATATATGCCACCTTGAGCTCCTTGGAGAAAAAGCTGAGATATAAATGCAGAAAATAAATAAATAAAAGATACACACATAACATTATTTTTTTTAATGCTTTAAGCTCAGAAGTTAACATAATCTCCTGCCTTTACTTCTGTGTTCTAATTACAGGCTCTGCTTGCTTTTTATAACTTAATTAGCTGTTTATCTGGCAGAACTGTTTGAATAGCATTAGTTGTATAAAAGTAAATGTAAAGGGACCCCTGACCGTTAGGTCCAGTTCCGGACGACTCTGGGGTTGCAGCGCTCATCTCGCTTTATTGGCCGCGGCGTACAGCTTCCAGGTCATGTGGCCAGCATGACTAAGCCACTTCTGGCGAACCAGAGCAGCGCACGGAAACGCCGTTTACCTTCCTGCCAGAGCAGTACCTATTTATCTACTTGCACTTTGACGTGCTTTCAAACTGCTAGGTGGGCAGGAGCAGGGACCGAGCAATGGGAGCTCACCCGATCTTCTGATCGGCAAGCCCTAGGCTCTGTGGTTTAGACCACAGTGCCACCCGCATCCCTATTAGTTGTACACTGGTACCTCGGGTTACATACGCTTCAGGTTACAGACTCTGCTAACCCAGAAATAGTACCTCAGGTTAAGAACTTTGCTTCAGGATGAGAACAGAAATCGTGCTCCGGCGGCGCAGCAGCAGCAGCGGGAAGCCTCATTAGCTAAAGTGGTGCTTCAGGTTAAAAACAGTTTCAAGTTAAGAATGGACCACTGTATAGGTGAGTGTTATTTTTCGGAATCTCAACTAAAGCAAACCCTGACTCTTGCTGATTCTGAAACCCACAAGCGCACAATCAAAACTTGATACAGTGGTACCTCGGGTTAAGTACTTAATTCGTTCTAGAGGTCCGTTCTTAACCTGAAGCACCATTTTAGCTAATGGGGCCTCCCGCTGCTGCCAGAGAACAATTTCGGTTCTCATCCTGCAGCAAAGTTCTTAACCCGGGGTACTATTTCTGGGTTAGCGAAGTCTGTAACCTGAAGCATATGTAACCCGAAGCGTATGTAACCCGAGGTACCACTGTACTGTATTTAACTTGACCACAAGCAGACTCCCCCCCCCCACCTCGGCTGCAGGTGGCTGACTCCCACTTCTCCCCCGCCCTTCCCCCACCCAATTCATTTCAGCTCCTGTTGTTCAAGACTTGCTGCAACTTTGCGTTATTTTCCTGCTTCCAAACGAAAAGAACAAAATGCGCGTGTTGGAGAAGGGGTTACTGTTTGTTCCCATTTTATATTGTAAAGCTAAACCAAGCAAGCAAGCTTCCTAGAGGAGCTGTTGTTATGAATGCATGTTAGGAACTGTCCTGCGTCCTTCGGCTGGAGGGCGGCGTGTAAATTTACTTAATGATGATGATTGGAAGAACGGCAACAAAGCAGGTGACGAACGGAGAGGCAGCTTCGGCGAGCCCCGTCGTGTTAACGGAGCCGGCGTCCGACGGAAACCTGCGGGGGGGGGGGGAACCGACCCCCTGTCCCTTCCGAGAGCCGGCAGCCTCCGGACTCAGCCCTCCCCCCGGCGCCCTTACCTTGCGCCAGCATCCGAATGACCGTCCGCGTCTTGAAGACGTCGGCGGCGGCCAGCAGCGCGTCCCTTCCATGCACCGTATAGTAGTCGCCGCGCTCGAAGAAGCGCACGGTGGTGTCCGGCTTCTCCGGCAGCGCCAGGACGGCGCGCACGAAGCCGCTCTCGGCGTTCGCCCCGTCGGGCCAGCACGCCTCGCGCGCCGAAGTCGAGGGGGAGCCGCCGACGGCGATGTCCACCGAGACCGCCAAGGCCGCGTTGAAGTCGGACGCCATGCTGCCGGAATCTCCCGCCAACCGAAAAAAAACTGCCGCGCTTACTGGTCGCGCCTCCTCAGACGCCGACTGCCACGCCGCCCTCTCGGCCGCCGTAGCGAGTCACGTGCTCCTCGGAGCCCGCACCAGCCCTTGCCGGGTGTCATGGCAACGGATGCGCGCGCCGCGACGGCCGTTGAGATTTTCAGGGCCCGTTTTGCGCATGCTCTGGAAATGGTGGGCGGGCTTTGGGGCTCGCCTGTCTGTCCTTCTCTCGCTATTGAATGAATGAGGATCTTAGCCAGGGGTCAGCAACCTTTCTCAGCCGTGGCCCGGTCCACCCTCCCTCCGACCGTGTGGGGAGCTGGACTATATTTTTTTTGAGGGGGTGAACGAATTTCTGTGCCCCACAAATAACCCAGAGATGCATTTGAAATAAAAGCATACAATCTACTCATGTAAAAAGCTATGGTTTTCCCAGTACAGTGGTACCTCAGGTTACGTACGCTTCAGGTTACAGACTCCGCTAACCCAGAAATAGTGCTTCAGGTTAATAACTTTGCTTCAGGATAAGAACATAAATCGTGCTCCAGCGGCGCGGCGGCAGCAGGAGGCCCCATTAGCTAAAGTGGTGCTTCAGGTGAAGAACAGTTTCAGGTTAAGTACGGACCTCCAGAACGAATTAAGTACTTAACCCGAGGTACCACTGTAGTGATGTATGGAAGTGAGAGCTGGACCATAAAGAAGGCAGATCACCGAAGAATTGATGCTTTTGAATTATGGTGCTGGAGGAGACTCTTGAGAGTCCCATGGACTGCAAGAAGATCAAACCACTCCATTCTTAAGGAAATCAGCCCTGAGTGCTCACTGGAAGGAGCAGATCGTGAAGCTGAGGCTCCAATACTTTGGCCACCTCATGAGAAGAGAAGACTCCCTAGAAAAGACCCTGATGTTGGGAAAGATGGAGGGCACAAGGAGAAGGGGACGACAGAGGACGAGATGGTTGGATAGTGTTCTCAAAGCTACCAGCATGAGTTTGACCAAACTGTGGGAGGCAATGGAAGACAGGAAGAAGAAGAAGAGTTTGGATTTGATATCCCGCCTTTCACTCCCTTTAAGGAGTCTCTAAGTGGCTAACATTCTCCTTTCCCTTCCTCCCCCACAACAAACACTCTGTGAGGTGGGGGCTGAGAGACTTCAGAGAAGTGTGTCTAGCCCAAGGTCACCCAGCAGCTGCATGTGGAGGAGCGGAGACGCGAAAACGGTTCCCCAGATTACGAGACTACCGCTCTAAACCACTACACCACAGGAGTGCCTGGCGTGCTCTGGTCCATGGGGTCACGAAGAGTCGGACACGACTAAACAACAACAAAAACACGTTGATTCCTGGACCGTCCGCGGGTCGGATTGAGAAGGCGATTGGGCCGGATCCGGCCCCCGGGCCTTAGGTTGCCTACCCCTGGTCTTAGCCATGCTCTGCGCCCACCTGCCGTGTTTACTTGGGAAGTCCAGCCCTGCTGAGCTCTGCAGGCATCACTGCTTAGTGGTCCTTGTCTATCCTACCTCCAGCAATCCCCGCTGAATTTCGTGGGACTGGCTTTTGAGCACACAGGTGTAGGACTGCGCTGCTAAATGAGCTTAGTTAAAAATATAAAAAGAAGTGCCCTGCTGGATCAGAACAATGACCCAGATAGTGCAGCATCCTGCTCTCAAAGAGGGCAGCCAGATACTTGTGGGGGAAACCAGGGAGCAGAGCATGAGCCCAAGAGCTCCCTCCCCCCTCCTGTGGCATTTAGCAACTGGTGCTCAGAAGTGTTGCTGCTTGTGCAGGCAGAGCATACAGTGGTACCTCAGGTTAAGAACTTAATTCGTTGCAGAGGTCCGTTCTTAACCTGAAACTGTTCTTAACCTGAAGCACCACTTTAGCTAATGGGGCTTCCTGCTGCCTCCACACCGCCGCAGCGCAATTTCTGTTCTCATCCTGAAGCAAAGTTCTTAACCCGAGGTACTATTTCTGGGTTAGTGGAGTCTGTAACCTGAAGCGTCTGTAACCCGAGGTACCACTGTATAGGGCATTATGGCTAGTAGCCCTCGGTAGCCCTGTCCTCCATGAACTTGCCTTATGCTATTTTAAAGCCATCCTCCTTGTGGGAGGGAGTTCCATAGTCTTGACTTTCTTTGACATTGAATCTTCCAACATACAGCTTCCCTGGATTTCCAGGGGGAACGAGAAAGGGAGAATAAGCATAAAAGTATCCACTTTTTCCATGCCATGTTTATACCAATGGTTCTCAAACTTTTTGAGTGTGACGAAGCTGCTCTGGCGAGCCAGCACCAGCGCAGCACACAGAAACGCCGTTTACCTTCCCGCTGTAAAGCGGTACCTATTTATCTACTTGCACTTAGGGGTGCTTTCGAACTGCTAGGTGGGCAGGAGCTGGGACCGAAAGACGGGAGCTCACCCCGCCGCGGGGATTCGAACCGCCGACCATACAATCGGCAAGTCCTAGGCACTGAGGTTTTACCCACAGTGCCTCCCGCGTGAAAAGATACCCATCTGTATTTCACAAATGTTTTTATAGTATACCATGTAACTTAATTGTTTATATTTTCCTTTGGTTGTCCTTGAATCTTCCCACCACTGCCATCCTCTCCTGCAACACTAGTGTGGCGCACCACACCATTTGAGAACGAAGAGTTTATACGTTTCTATCATGTCACTTCTTACTTGCCTGTTCTCTAAACTAAAAAGCCCCAAATGCTGCAACCTTTCATTAGGGGAGTCACTCCATGCCCTTGATAATTTTGGTGCCCCTTTTCTGTTGTTTTTTTTAAATATATATATATAATATTAAGTTTTCCAATTTAATAATCCAATGAACCACATTAAAACATTCCAAATTGCAATACAATAAAAAAGCCAAATATAAATGCCAATTTTTTTTATCTTTGGGTGACTTCCCATGCTCTGAAGTGCTGATCATCTAATCTCACATTGCATTTCTTAATCAATAAGCCATTCCGATGTTAATCATTCACATAATTTTCATTTACTTTCACAACCACTGGTCTGTTCAACTTTTGCCTTCTTAAGTTCTGTATGAAATATTTTCCCCTGTTTTCCACAGTCCAGCAATTCCATTTTCAGTTTCTGTCCCCTTTCCAACTCTACAATATTATTTTTGAGGTGAGGTCACCAGAACCATACACAGTACTCCAAATGTGATCGCACTATAGATTTATATAAGGGAATTGTGATACTGGCACTTTTATTTTCAGCTCCTTTCCTAATGATCCCTAGCATGGAAGATGTCTTTTTTACAGCCTTTGTATGCTAGTACCTTCATCGAGCTAGTATAGCAGGCCCCATAATACACTGATCTTCAACTGGTGTTCATGGCCTGATCCAAAGTGGGTCACAACAGCAGCAGTACCACCATGCAAATATATGGTAAATGGTTTAAAAATGGGTCCTCAGGTTTATGTTTGGGTGAAAAGTGAGTGCAGAGTCAGAAAAGGTTGAAGATAACTTGCCATAACACACTTCAGATGGAGGGAGAAATATTTCTTCCCCCAGATATTGCTCAACTACAACTCCCATCAGCTACAGCAAGAATGGCCAATGGCAAGGGAGAATGGCAAGCTGCAGTTCAGCAACATCTAGAGGGCCAGAGGTTCCCTTTTAGACAGGTACAGCAAAAGGTGAGAAGGTAACTATCTAAAATTAATAAATCCTAGGCATGCAGTCTTCAGTGGAAATTATTCCTAAGGAAAATGTGCACCAAATGATAGCTCTGCTGTCTTCCAGCCAAGTACTTCTTTGCACTTCGGTTACTCTTCAGGTTTTCCTCCCTGCAGCCCAGTCCTATACCTGTTTACTCAAACGTTCTCTATACGATAGAACTTACTGCCAAATAAGTGGCATGGCACCTGAACCAATGGATTCAAGTTACAAAAAAGAGATTCCGATCAATATCAGAAATAACTTTTTGACAGCAAGAGCTGTTCCAACAGTGGAATAGACTCCCTCGGGAGATGGTGGTATCCTTCACCGGAGGTTTTTAAGTAGAGGTTGATGGCCATCTGTCATGGATGACCTAGCTGAGATTCCTGTATTGCAGGGGGTTGGACTAAATAACCCTTGGGCTCTCTTCCAACTCTACAATTCTATTATATCAAAATACCTTTCCTAAATGCTAATCTAATTAGAGTTATCCGTCTATAAAACTAGAATGAAGATATCGGAAAGTGTCCCATTAAGTCATTCTTAGAAATACCACAGAAGAGCCAAAAAGATTTTCAGAATTTATTAAAATTACTTGTAAAAAAAAGAGCAAATTTGAAGGAAAATATTTACAAGCATTAAAAAAACCACACACACTATATTCCATGATCTGCAAGAGATGCAAGGTGGCCAAATTCATTTAGTAACTTACTAGACACCTCAAAGTTTATACAAAACAGTTATTTAACATACATCCAACAAAAAGGCATCAGTAATTTTACACAAAGGACGGTCATCTTGCCCAACTAGTAAAAATGTTTAAAAAATGGATTACAGTCCAGCAAAATGCAGTCTAGTGTCAAAATTTGAAGTAATCCTTTTATTAAACTATAAGGAAGTATTTAAACAAAAAAAAAGTCTCTACAGGTAATCTTCAGTTTACATGCTTTTGCCATGTTTATCCTTATTTCGTGTTACAGCAATTATGAGTTTAGTTCTCTGTGCATTTCGTTCATTTCCTTTACCTGAAGACACACAAAAAAAGAGTTTTATTCCTTTTCAGTTTTGATGCCTTTAGAACATGTTCATATATTAATATTACCAATAGAATGGACACCAGTCACCAGCCTAGAAACTATTTTTTGCTATAATGTAACTCCCCTTGCCCCCAATAATGTCTTATGTTCAGCTATTTGGCTGAATTCTACAGAAGAATCTACAAAGCTGTAATTTGCAGTTTTGTTTTTACTACATAAAAAACCTCTTCCCTGGGCCAAGGTATGTATCAGATCCTAAGCTCTCTAGAAAATAATATTTCCTGTGTGCGGCATTTAAGTGACTCCCCAAACTGTTAGATGTCAAAACACATTCCCTCTCTCACACACAGAATGTTG